ACTTCTTCGGATGCATCCGAAGAAGTGGGCTGTAGTCCACGAAAGCTTATGCTCTAATAAATTTGTTAGTCTCTAAGGTGCCACAAGTACTCCTGTTCTCTTTTTGCGGATACAGACTAACACTGCTGCTACTCTGAAGCTTTTCTAAGTGAACCTCCGAGCAGGAGCTGGCCAACGTGAGGCAGAAGAAGGCTGCTACCAAAAGGATCGCACCAAATGGACTAAAGGACAACAGTGACAAAGACACGTGCACAAAGATGCCCCAAGGAGATGGGCAAACTGGCAAACCTCTAGCCACTTTGGATGAAGTAGTAGTATCCTCTGAGGCAGAGTGGATGTCACAGATCTGAAATCCACCTGGTCTGAGCTGTCAGATCCCAGGCTTCTGCACTAAAAAGATTCCTTTGTGGCTAAAGAAAGGAGAGACGCAACGAGAGGGCTAGATCTGCCAGGATTCAAGGAGGACCTGGCACAGAAGTTCTGCTGTAGGCAGCTTTGTCACAGACATGTGAACCGGCATTCAAGTCTGTTCTAAAAGCCCCTTTCAGCTCCATTGGCACCAGGCAGTGTTCATTTGGCCCTACTGGGAAATGCTGTTCTAAAGGGGCCAGAGTTTGGAGCAGAGGTGAGCACCCACCTGGGGTGCACACGTGGGGGAAGTACGGAGGTCATTCTCAAAGGAGAGAGAAGATCTGAAAGAAGGTGGCTTTTGCACAAAGGGGTGGGGGTGGGAAGAAGCTCTTTGCCTTATGGCAAACCAAAACTGAATTATTCTGACCCCTTTACTGTAGTGGTTATCCAATGGCCATTCAATATTTCCACCCTCTGAAATGTCATGTTTTCTGAGAAAGATTTACTAGGTTAGCTTGGGCAATACTTCATAAGCTTATCTTATAGTGAAAACACACGTCAGCAGCAAGAACCCAATGTAATTCTGTTATAATCCCCTTGTTTTCCTTTCCGCAATTATCTGACAAACCAAAATGGTAATAGCTTTACTGAAACAATTAGGCACTAACTGCACCTCTCAAATTAGTTATGTTATTACCAGCAAATTAGATTCAGCACTTGTGGCATTCGCATCCCTCTCTAAAAGATCAGCTTGAACA